CCCCAGGTAGATTTGGGTGAAAGAGCCCACTGCGCAGCCCAGCGCCCGCACAACCAGCTCCTGAGTCGCCTGCTCGACATGAACCGGCACCAGCATACTCTTGGAGAAATTAATCCGTAGTCCAGTAGCTTCCGCGAACATATCCAAGATCTGGCGAAGACGAGCTGCCCCGGCTTCACAGGCACGCATGACGATCAGCGTATCGTCTGCATACTGGAGCACCACAGCAGGGGCATGTGGCACCAGCGGGTGCCGCATCACGCCGTCTTGGCGAATCAGCCGCTGCAGCACATCGGCCACGATCAAGAAGAGGTACGGCGAGATCGGATCACCCTGGCGAAGCCCACACTTCAGCTTAAGCCACTTCCCTGGCACCCCGTTGAGCAGCACCGCAGAATGAGAAGAGCGCAGGATGGCGTCGATCCAATCACACCACACCACCGGAAATCCTCGAACTTCCATGACGGCTCTGAGACTCTCCCAGTTGATTGAATCGAATGCCTTGGAAAAATCAAGCTTCAGAACAACCGTGGGGGCAGCTCTTTTGTGGCAGCATTGTACGAACTCGGTTGCATATACGAAATTTTCAGAGATACTTCTGCCTCTCATAAAACCAGACTGGTCTTCATCGATCAGCACTGTTATCTGCTTCTGCAACCTCGTGGTCAGCCCTCTGCATATGATCTTGACGTCGCCGTTCTGCAGCGAAACAGGCCGGAAGTCCGCGGGGGTACGCGCAAGTGATCATTGTCTGTACATGATGGATTGATTGACGGTGGATGACAATAGAGATTTCCTGAAAACCTGTATCATAAGTTTTTTAATGGACAAAAGATTTAACTTTTAGCAATTGAGGGGAGTTAGATTTTGGTTCAAATTATAGATTAGTGGCGGTCTCAATTGTAACTTGTGAAACACCAAGATTTAATGGACAATAATCATCTTGGTTTTGGTTCACATTTTTCAAAGTAAAAAGGGCAGCTCCAGTGCATGTAGCTCCCGCTTGCGCAGGGTCTGGGGAAGGGTCCGACCACTTTGGGTCTATTGTACGCAGCCTTTCCCTACATTTCTGCAAGAGGCTGTTTCCAGGACTTGAACCCGTGGCCTCATGGTCACAAGGCAGCAGCTTTACCACTGCGCCAAGGCTCCCCTTCACATTTTTCAAAGTAATTCATCATAATATATTCTATCGACGCAAAAAAAAAATTATGATTATTTACACTATCTTTTGAGGCTTGTATCAGGGTGTCATTTTTTCAAAGAAAATTTGTAAGGGTGGCTACCAGAGTATAAGTAGGAACTCAAATCCATGAGGACTTAACCCAGATGGTGGGATTGTATGGCAACTCCCCTCAACCAAATGCATTGGGATCACTTCCTCACGGTGTCATACTGTCATCTATAGGCTGGTATCACTATTATGTTGTCCGGGCTTTGCAACCTCTCGTCCTCTACAACTGCCATAGATGCCCAGATCGACATTTTTTTTTCTTTTCGTCGAGCTTTTCCCGGTGCTTCTTCCCAGCATGATGATGTGCCAGCATTTTACCACTATTACACTGCAAATTGCACTGCTCACAGAAATATACTATCTGCCGTTTCTCCAACTTTTCTGAGTTCGCATTCTTCCTGTTAGAGCAATCTGAAAGTAGTTCATTTGCAGCCTTACGACTGCTCGCTTTCACGGTCTTGCCTTTTCCGAGTACCTCCTCTATATTCTGTTGGTGCCTGCTGCTTCTGCAATGATCCTCAAATTGAGATTTAGAGTTACATTCGGCCTCGCACATTGTGCAATGACATTCCGAGGGTGGTTCTTGGCTCATGGCCACTCGTGGTGCATTGTTTTTCTCTTGCTTGGTTTTCGCGCTTAAAACCTGAATGTTTAGTTGGTGTCTCTTGCCTGCAAGATGGTTTTCCAAGTCTGGTTCACAAGTACAGTGAGCTTGGCAAATTCTGCAGGCCCATCTTGAATCTGGATTCAGTTTTTCTTTCCTTGCCATGTTCTTGCCTTCAAGCAAGGACTGAACCTTTGCGTGGTGTCTTATGCCCCTCAGGTGGCTGTTCAAGTCCGATTCGCTGGTACATATAGCTTGGCAAATGCTACAACTCCAGGGTGATGGTGGCTTCTCTGAACGCTTTGGCACATTGATGGCATGCGATTTTGCTTCCCCCGCCGCGACGTTCTTCGGCGTGGATGTGGCTGAGATGTTCTGCTGGTGTCTTTTGCCTTTGAGGTGCGCTTCCAACCCCGATTGGCCCGAGCCAGTTGCCTGGCAGGTATTGCAACTCCATTTTATTGAGGAGGTTTTCTTGTGCTCTGTACCAAGGGAAGGTTCTGCTGCCGTTGTCGCCTTCTGACCACTTGCCGTAGCTCTTTGGTCCAGTGTTGCTACATTTAACAAGTGCTTCTGCCCAGCATAATGCTGCTGCAAGTTCTGCTCACTGGTTGCTTGCACCTCACAGACGGTGCAATTCCATCTCATGGGTGTTTTGGGCTTCTTAACTGGTATGGTTATTCCTGTTAGTTCCCACTTCTCCGCGACCGACGTCTTAGTCTCTGGAACAGCCTGTTTGATATTTTGACTAGACCATCAGTAAGTGAACTGAACCTATGAAAACAAGGAGAACAGACTTGCTACTGAGTTACATGCAGTTCTAATAGGCCATTGGCAAGTTGACTTGTAAGAGCAGTTTTTTTGAGAATCAACTTGCAAGAGCAGTTAAGCTATTATACCAAGTTACATGAAGTTTGGTCAGGCCAGTAGTAAGTGATCTTGAAAACTTTTTTTTTCTTTAAAAAACGTGCACCAGCCTTACAGCAACAACCAGAAAAACCAAAGAGAAAACTAAGCAAAACAGAAAGAACAGCATAAACTAAAATCAAGTACTTGGGCAGTAAACTTGCCATGTTCCATATTTAAATACTACCAAATCTTAGGTATGCACAGTTAAAGAAATTCTCAGGTATTGTGAATTATGATCACAAGATAACCAGTTGGAGTTTGAGGGGATTCATGACTGTAAACAGCACCCTATAATATATCGAGACAAAACAGAGGACATATGTAAAGAGTACAAAATGGACAATGCCCTCACCCCACTGGAGTCCGGCAGCCTCTGCTCATCGGACGCTGCATTTTGTCGAGCCGCCTTACCCTCACATGTCGTCAAGCATTCGCCGGCTGGTGTCGGCGTGGCCTGCTGGCCGCCAGTGGCGGCGCGCAGGGCCATGGCACGCTCTATCTTGGCCAGCTCGGCCACGATGATCTCCTGGCGAAGGCGGTCCTTCTGGAGCTGCGACAGCAGCGCGTCCCTCATCACCAGCATCGGGTCTCCTGCATCAACAGCATTGTGTCAGCGTGACAAGAATTCTACACCAGCGCGTCCCTTAGAACAAGAGTTCTACCACATCTGATCTGCTGATTGAAGAGGAACAGTTTTGCAAGTGTGTTTTTTCTTCTTTTGGCGGTATGATTGAAAAAATTTATGGCTGATTCTTCTATCTTGTGCCTCACAAACAGATCCGAAGAAGAAGGGAAGAACAAATCCGAATCGCACCTGATCTACTTTTCTACGCCTGATGCTACAACAGTTCTAGAAGGTGGAGATTATGACGCAGGCTGGAACCTGCTTCCTTGCTGAAAATTGAGGTTTGAGTTTCCCCTTATTTATTTCTCATTCCCCCTTGTAAAGACCCCACGTAAATATAGTTCTCTAGTATAAATTGTAAGGTATCCCAGCGGTGTAGGTTGCTGAGTTCTTGGCACGGAATCGAAACAGTCGCCTGCATCTGAACCCAGGAAAACTGAAACAAACAAAAGAGCGGCCAGCGATCGGGAGGCAGCGAGGAGAAGGTAAGAGTGACAGTGACTCGACGGTTACCGTGCGGCGGAGGGCGTTGGCCGTCGTCGGTGGCTCGGCCGCGGCGGGAGAACTCCATCGGTCTGGTCCCAGTGGCAGCAGAGCAGCGACGGCGAGAAGAACCTGAGGCCGGGCCGCCGGAGTTGGTGGCTCTGCTCGGGGGACGAGAAGAGCAGGGGGCGGGCGTTCCAGGAAAAGGAGCGTGAAAAAGCAAATTGGTCCCGATCACAACGAATGGTTGATCGATCGCGGCGGCTTAAAGATGTTTTGCTTAGTCGCAAAGGAAACCGGAGACGAAATGCCGAAGCGAGTTTGAACGGTGTGGATGCATGCGTCGGAAACAAACATGGAATAAATGAGATCTTGTTTACACGGCATCATCCTATTTCCTGCAGGTTTCTACCATCTCCTCCAGTCAAAGATATCTCCTGCAGGCTGCAGTACTAATAAATAAGCATCCCTCTCCTACTCGTCTTTATCAAGCAACAATGGCTCTTTTCCGACCAAGGAGTACTGCCTGTTCACTATACACATGTATCTGTACAGACCAAATTGTCGAATAAAATCACGGGCACTTTGATTGCTGCCGACATTTCAAACGAAATCGAAATCAAATTCTCAAAGCAAACCTGCCACAGATGTGATCTGATAATCAACCAAAAGTTGGCGATTCTTCTGAAAAAGAAGCAAATGGTGTGGCGATTGTTCAAAGGGCTGGGGCTCACTCAAATCACAGAGCAGGTGAGATTGTAATAGAATTCATCTTCAGAGCCTGGTACTTAGCAAAGCTCTTCTTCAATTACAATGACTATCGTAGAACCCTCAGTCGATCAGCACTGGAAATCGGAGAAATCCGCTCTCTTTCGAAAAGGAGGAAAAGGGAACCACTCCTTTCTAGTTTAACTAAAAAGAATCTAGAAAAACTAATATGCACACCTGGATGGAACATGTTGACACCTAGGGACATAAACACTTAGATTCTTCACAAAATGAACTCCAGTGCAGCCACCGACATGAGAAGTTGCAGCTGCACCGTGCTAATGACATTTGCAGATTGACATGTTAATCAGACACTAACCCGTAGTACAAGAAACACGCAACTTCGCAACGAACCGCCGCTGCTCTGCAACTGCTGCCTCTCAATGGCGTGCCTGAAGGTTCTCCCTGTGTTTCTTCCCGGCGAGATGCGACTCCTTCACCTTCTCGCTGGAGTACTGCACTTTGCAGAGCTTGCAGAAGGGAAATTTGCTTACAAACTCCTTCCTCGGACCTTCAGTAGCCCTGCGGTCAGCGAAACGCTTGCCCTCCTCGTTGCCTCCTCCTGCCTGCCGGGTCTGTGCGCTCTCCTGATGACTCCTCCCTTTGGGATGGTGGCTCCCGGCTTCCGTGTGCAGGGCCTGCGTGCTCTCCTGCTGGCTGCTGCCCTTCAGATGGTTGCGCAAGTCAAATCCAAAGGCTTTCTGCCTGGACCGCAACGCCGCAAGGTTCAACCGGTGTAGATCGCCTGCTTTGTGTTGCATCAAGTCTTCTTCACAGGTCAGATTCACTTGACAGAGGGTGCAATTCCATTCTTCAAGTGGCTTCTGCCTCTTTGGTGATGGAGTTGTCACAACCGGTCCAGATACCGGTCTCCTTTTCACCCCACTAGGCGTGGTTTGGGTATTAGGCTGAAAGTTTGTTTAGATTACAGAGCATTAGTATAGTAAAAGACTAGTGAACAAGGAAGGTAAACTCTGGTAACTCTGGTACATATACTACCACTACTACAATCAAGTTCTACAATTAATTTTGACGATAAGATGTAAAAATATATATTAAGTTGCATATTTGAAGAACTTGCCTAACTAAAGTAGTTGCATATCTGAAGAACTTGCCTAACTAAAAGTTTGCATATCCGAAGAACTTGCCTAACTAAAGTAAGTTGCATATCCAAAGAATTTGCCTAACTAAAGTAGTAACTCAACACTTCTATGAAACGGGATCAGTAAGCTATTTGGTATCCTTTCTGTTTCACATTTTCTATATAGCACATACATGATGATTAACACGTTACATCCGAAGTGGCTACCAGGATTGTGTGTCAGTTTCATTAAGACCAAGAGAAAAGTATTTGCCATGTTGGTCACTGAAGATATTACTGAAGGGAGCAATTGCCATCAGCCACAACTTAAATATTGGCAACACCACAATAGCAAATGGAAGCAGAAACAAACAAGAACAAATTGAAAGATCAAGCCACTCACCTCGTTGAACGCTGGTCTCTTCTGCTCATTAAATGGGGACTTCTTGCCAGCCAGCGCATGTTGGTGAGGCGATTGCCTCCGCTCATCGATGCAATCTTTCATGGTAGGCTTAGCAGGCTTTGGCTGTTCACTTCCCTGGATTCCACTCTCCTCCATCAACTTTACAGCATGTCTATCCTTTTCTTCTGCTTCGTGCTGCTGACCAGAGACATCACGCTTTGGCTGTTCACTTCTCTGGATTCTATTCACCGTCAGCTTCACGGCATTGCCATCCTTCACTACTGCTTCACGTTCCTGACCAAAATTTTCACGCTTCGGCTTTTCACTTCTCTGTATTTTATTCTCCATCAGCTGCGCGACATGGCTGTCCTTCGCTTCTGCTTTGCGTTCCTGGCCGACGGCTGCACGTTTTAGCTCTTCGTTTATCTGAATTCCACTAGCCAGCAGCTGGACGGCATGGCCATCCTTCAATCCTGCTTCCTGTTCCTTGCCAACAGCTGCAAGATTTGGCTGTTCAGTTCTCTGAAGTTCACTCTCCATCAGCTGCAAGGCATGGTTGTCCTTCACTTCTGCTTTGATTTCTCGGCCAACGGCTGCACGCTTTAGCTGTTTGCTTCTCTCAGTTACACTCTCCATCAGCTGCATTGCATGGTTGTCCTTCGCTTCTGCTTTGCTTCCTTGACCAATGGATGCACGCTTCAGCTGTTCAGTTATCCGAATTCCGCTCTCCATCAGCTGCACAGGATGGCTGTCCTTCGCTTCTGCTTTGCTTCCTTGACCAACGGCTACATGATTTAGCTGTTGACTTATCTGAATTCCACTCTCCATCAGCTGCACGGCATGGCTGTCCTTCGATCCTGCTTTGCTTTCCTGACCAATGGCTGCACGCTTTAACTGTTCACTTATCTGAATTCCATTCTCCATCAGCTGCACGGCATGTCTGTGCTTCAATCCTGCTTCGTGTTCATGATCAACAGCGGCACGGCTCTCTATTGCCACCTCCTTGCGCAGCAATGCTGGCTCTGCTGGTTTGGCAACGACATTGGTCACAGCAGGTACCAAAGCTTCCACTGCAGGGTCCTTGCTCAGTGACCGGAATAGTTCCACTTCAGGAAACGCTGAAGGAGTTGCTACAACTGGCCTAGATGAGCTGCCGCGTTCTTGCTGCTCAGCATCATCGACTGGCCTTCGCTGCGGCACTGGTGACGGCGACCGTTCAACGTGTGGGTAAACAGGAGGTATCACTTGCCCCGAGGGACTCCTGTACCACCAAGAAGCTTCCTCACTGGACCGCGGCGTGCGGTACATCACCTCTTCCCGTGGAGTCATCAACGACAACCCACGCAAAGCGCCAAGCCCTGCTAAGCACGCGGTCATGGCGCGCTCTGTTTGGGCAAGCTCGCACAAGATCATATCGTGGCGGATGCGCTCCTTGTGGAGCTCGTGCAGCAGCTGCTCCCTCCTCAACACCAGCGCCACCATGTCTGCCTGTGGTGAGTCAGCATCATTGCCTTCTCGTTGCCAATGGACAGAACGATCAGTACTATAATAGGCCAAAGTATTGTACTAACCGTGCATCATATGATATTCTTTTTCATGGCATCACATGTTGTAACATCAAAATAATCAGAAAGTATTTATGATCATCACATCATAATATAATCATTATAAAATAGGGAAGTTTCGGATTTCTGGAGATATCTTTTGAAGGATCTGCCACTCTTAAATATGGTATGCGGTGATTTGCTACTTTTAATCCCAAAAATGAACACGACCCAGGCGCAGGCAGGATTGCGAGGCAGAGCATTGTGGATGACAGGGCTTAAGGTATCACTACCGACAGAGCATAGTATTTAGGCACATGGCGTGCACCGTTGCAGTGGTAAATAATAGCCTATTCATAGACTTGTGAATAATGTCTTCAAAGATTTATATGTTTAGACACAAACTTTTAGCGGTTTCTCTACCAAAAAAGTACAGTTTCGCTAATTCTCATTCGTCGGAGAATTTCTTAGTTCACAGTCGACCCCGAAAACCGCCGATCCGGCATTGCGCTATGTGCAAGATTTCATAATTTTCTGTAACTCTGAGAACAAACACTACATTCCTCTTTTGCCCAGGATGAACCAATTAGTACATCACAGTGAATATTTTTACAACTGTATGAAACTTTTTATGAAATCAACTGAGAATTAGGGTGAACAAAAACTGAATCGGAGAATGATCATCTGTCTCTCTTAGATTTGTACACTCTGCCGAAACAATCTCACGCTAATCCCCGAACCTCTCTCGCGATTCGCCAAAGAAAAAAAGAACTAGCAATGTGCAGTCAGGGACGAATTTCAACACAAGAAAAATTCACTTTCTTCCCACAAACCGCAAAGCATAGACATTGGAGCAACCGCAAGAAAAGAGAGGAGATTTGGCAGTCCCGGGCGAGAGAGGGCCCGGCGGAGCCTCATTACCGTGCGGCGGCGGAGGATCGGGGAGGCGGCGGCCATCGCCGACGCCAACGCCGTCGGCCGCGGCGGTTTCTCGGCCTCGCGCGGCGAACTCCATTGCAATGCCAGAACCGGGGCGGAGGTTTGGTTAGGGTTTGGTTTGAAGTGGAGGGAAGTTTTGGTTTTGGGACGGAGGCGCCGCGAGGGGAAGGCGGAGTCGCCCCTCCGATAGCGCGTTGGTTCGCGAGATTGGTTGCGAACTCGCAGCGCAACTGCCCCTCCGTTGATTGGGCCCGCCCAGCGCGCTGCGTCTGTGGGGCCCAGCCCCCGGCCCGTTGCTTACTCAAATTCGGATCACGTTTTCTCTAAAAAAAAAAGGATCACATGGTGTGGCAGTTCTTTTGCATGTCATTTTGATCCTTTTTCGCATGAAATTCTGATTATACACGAGTAATGAGTATTTGTGTATGAAGTTCGCCTAAGAAAGACATAATTTTGCTTCAATTCAAGGGTACAAGCACAATTCTGCCAGTTATTACTACATACTCTCACCTGCACAATACACATTACACGTTCACGTGGACGTAGCACGATCATCGACGGCGAGTCTCACTCCATGGCGGCCATCTCCTCGAAGAAGAGCTCCCTGAACCTCGCCAAGCGATCCGGCTCCAGCGAAACGGCCACCGCCACGTCGCCGCCCTTGCCCGGGCAGCTCATCAGGTACACGAACCCCGGGTAGAACATGAGGGCCGGCGCCAGGAGCGCCGGCTCGCCCCACCCGAAGTCGGCGTCGTGCGACGGCATCCCCATCCAGCTGATCACCCGCAGGTCCGTCCCCGGCAGCCCGCTACTCGGCAGCGCCCCCATGTCCGCCGTCTCCAGGTAGTCCACCACCGACCGCGCGTACTCGTCGCCCTGCCCCGTCGCCGCGCGGAGCCGCCGCGCCGCGAACCCGAGCGGGCCGGACAGCAGGTCGCCCACCCTGGCGGACACCGACGTGCGCACCACCGCGTTGCCGAAGTAGGCGTCCGGGAGCGGCGGGGACAGGCGGGCGCGCATGTCGATCATGGTGTAGAGGCGGGACTCGGCGTCGGGGGCGAGGGACCGCGCCGCGCACGCGCAGCGCCAGACGTGGGCCACCAGCGCGCGGAACGTGGACACGCGGGGCGCGCCCGCGCGCGCACGGAGCGCCGCGGCCTGTGCGCCGGTCACGCGGAGGATGGCGCTGGCGTACTCCGACGACGGCTTGACGCCGCCAGCGGCAGGAGGATCGGTTGATGCGGGGGCGGTGAGGCGGTACTCGCGGCTGTGGTCGAAGTGGACGGCCGGCGGGGAGCGCGCGCACAGTGGGGTGCGGTCGAGGGACGGGGCCACGGTGGCGCTGGCGTCCCCGCGGGCGATGCTGGCCCACGTCTGGATGAAGTGGAAGGCGCTGCGGCCGTCGATGACGAAGTGGTGCATGGCCGTGCCGAGCGCCACGCCGCCGCAGCGGAAGAAGGTGACCTGCATGCCGGTTGCCGACACGTCGTCTGTTAATCAGTCTATGTGCACTTGACCTTGACCATCTTTCTCATCTCAAAGAATCTAGTCAGTCTTCTAATCTTCATCTTTCTCGTTTCATTCCTCACAAATCGGAAAGATAAAAGTCTTCCTTTCATTTTTTTTAGTTTAGCCATGTTGCATATATAGGATTAGTTGGACTAACACAATATGCCATGCACGTAAGCAAAATGATCCATTAATTAGAAGATGATCCATGCAGCAAACCTGAAGCATGAGCAAGGGAGCGCCCGCGCCGGCGTTGTCATACGGCGGCACGAACATGTCGCGCATCGCCTTGGACGGCGCGAAGCCCTGGAAGTCGTCGAGCGCGGCCTCGGACCGCGCGACGACGAAGAGCGCGCCCTCGTCGTTGCAGTCGATCTCCGCCCGGCCGCCGCGGCCCGCGCGCCGGCGAAGGGGTGGAACGGGACCAGCGCCCTGGCCAGCGCCGCCCTGAGGACGCCGGCCGAGAAGAAGGACCCGGCCTTGCCGTCGCCGCGATCGGGCGCTCGGAAGAAGTAGACGGTCGGGGAGTAGCCGTTCCTGGCGCCGAGGTCGAGGTTGGACAGCCAGAGCGCGCGCCGCGGGGTGGCCTCGCTCGGCGCGACCAGCTCGGACGTCACGACTTGGACGGCCATCGATCTCTGTGGTTAGTGCAGTGCGCGGCCGGTGCAAGTGCAGCGACTCCATGGAGGGGGCCTGGGTTTTATAGGCGTCTCGAGGTGAGTTTGGTGAGGGGGTTTCCAACTTTCCATGATTAAACTCTTGCGGAAAAGGAGCTTCTCATCATCCATTGTTGGATCACGGTGTGGACGGAAGTAAAATCGTGGCGCATGCAGAGAAGGTGATTTTACCAATGGGTCGTCCCTGCGTGACGTGATCTGACGTCTGGGAAAACACGTCATTATATATTGCAATTGCACTAGCCATTCGCGTGTTGGGTTCGCTTTGTGTCTACGAGAGCTGCGAGTGACAATAGCTCACACAATTTAGGGACAGTTCTATCTCGGTCTATCTATCCGTTATACTATAGTGCTAAAAATACTACTCCCTCCGTTCTGAAATAGATGACCCAAATTTATACTAACTTTATACTAAAGTTAGTACAAAGTTAAGTCATCTATTTTAGAACGGAGGGAGTACTTTGCTCACTAATGTAGACATTTTGGCACTTTTCTACATTAGTGAATAGAGGGTGTATATGATATAAAAATTAAAGAGGTGTGCTACAAATCCCGGCAAGAAACAAAACATTCTAGTAGGCCTCTTTTGAAGTAGATCACAACCGTTAGAGCATCTCCAGCCGCGCCCCCAACCGGCTCTCTGTTGGGGATCGTAACAGAAATTTAAATTTTTTTACGCATCACCAAGATCAATCTATGGAGTCATGTAGCAACAAGGAGAGAGGAGTGCATCTACATACCCTTGTAGATCGCGAGCAGAAGCGTTCAAGAGAACAGGGTCGATGGAGTCGTACTCGTCGTGATCCAAATCATCGAAGATCCTAGCGCCCAACGGACGGCACCTCCGCGTTCAACACACGTACGGAGCGAGGACGTCTCCCGCGCCTTGATCCAGCAAGGAGGAGGGAGAGGTTGAGGAAGAGGGCTCCAACAGCAGCACGACGGCGTGGTGGTGGTGGAGCTGCAGTACTCCGGCAGGGCTTCGCCAAGCTCTTGCGGAGGAGGAGAGATGTTGGGGAGGGGAGGGGTTGCGCCTTGGATGGTGTGTGCAGCCCTCCCCTTGCCCCTCTATATATAGGGGAAGGAGGAAGGGGGCCGGCCCCCTCTAGATGAGATCTAGAGGGGGGCGGCGGCCAAGGGGAGGGGGCTTGCCCCCCAAGCAAGGGGGGCGCCCCCCTTAGGGTTCCCCCCCCAACCCTAGGCGCATGGGCCCAAGAGGGGGTTGCGCCCAACCCATGTAGGGCTGGTTTCCTTTCCTCTACAGCCCATTAGGCCCTTCGAGAGAGGTGGCCCCTCCCGGTGGACCCCCGAAACCCCTCCGGTGGCCCCGGTACAATACCGATATGCCCCCGAACCTTTCCAGTGACCGTATGACAACTTCCTACATATAAATCTTCACCTCCGGACCATTCCGGAACTCCTCGTGACGTCCGGGATCTCATCCGGGACTCCAAACAACATTCGGTAATCACATACAAGTCTTCCTAATAACCCTAGCGTCATCGAACCTTAAGTGTGTAGACCCTACGGGTTCGGGAACCATGCAGACATGACCGAGACAACTCTCCGGCCAATAACCAACAGCGGGATCTGGATACCCATGTTGACTCCCACATGTTACACGATGATCTCATCGGATGAACCACGATGTCGAGGATTCAAACAATCCCGTATATAATTCCCTTTGTCAATCGGTACGTTACTTGCCCGAGATTCGATCGTCGGTATCCCAATACCTCGTTCAATCTCGTTACCGGCAAGTCACTTTACTCGTGCCGTAATGCATGATCCCGTGACCAACTACTTAGTCACACTGAGCTCATTATGATGATGCATTACCGAGTGGGCCCAGAGATACCTCTCCATCATATGGAGTGACAAATCTCAGTCTCGATTCATGCCAACCCAACAGACACTTTTGGGGATACTTGTAGTGCACCTTTATAATCACCCAGTTACGTTGTGACGTTTGGTACACCCAAAGCACTCCTACGGTATCCGGGATTTGCACAATCTCATGGTCTAAGGAAATGATACTTGACATTCGGAAAAGCTCTAGCAGACGAACTACACGATCTTGTGCTATGCTTAGGATTGGGTCATGTCCATCACATCATTCTCCTGGTGATGTGATCCCGTTATCAATGACATCCAATGTCCATGGTTAGGAAACCGTAACCATCTATTGATCAACGAGCTAGTCAACTAGAGGCTCACTAGGGACATGTTGTGGTCTATGTATTCACACATGTATTACGATTTTCGGATAACACAACTATAGCATGAACAATAGACAATTATCATGAACAAGGAAATATAATAATAACCATTTTATTATTGCCTCTAGGGCATATTTCCAACAGTCTCCCACTTGCACTAGAGTCAATAATCTAGTTACATTGAGATGAATCGAACACCCATAGAGTTCTGGTGTTGATCATGTTTTGCTCGAGGAAGAGGTTTAGTCAAGGGATCTGCGACATTCAGGTCCATATGCACTTTACAAATATCTATGTCTCCATTTTGAACATTTTCACGAATGGGGTTGAAGCGGCTTGATATGCCTGGTCTTCTTGTGAAACCTCTTCATTTGCTCGAGGAAGAGGCTTGATATGCCTGGTCTTCCTATGAAACCTAGGCTCCTTGGCAAGGGCAATAGCTCCAATGTTGTCACAGAAGAGAGTCATCGGGCCCGATGCATTGGGAATAACTCCTAGGTCGATAATAAACTCCTTCACCCAGATTGCTTCTTGTGCTGCCTCCGAGGCTGCCATGTACTCCGCTTCACATGTAGATCCCGTCATGACGCTTTACTTGCAACTGCACCAGCTGACTGCCCCACCATTCAAAATATACACGTATCCGGTTTGTGACTTGGAGTCATCCGGATCTGTGTCGAAGCTAGCATCGACGTAACCCTTTACGACGAGCTCTTCGTCACCTCCATAAATGAGAAACATATCCTTAGTCCTTTTCAGGTACTTCAGGATATTCTTGATTGCTGTCCAGTGTTCCATGCCGGGATTACATTGGTACCTTCCTACCAAACTTATGGCAAGGTTTACATCAGGTCTGGTACACAGCATGGCATATATAATAGACCCTATGGCCGAGGCATAGGGGACGACATTCATCTTTTCTCTATCTTCTGTCGTGGTCGGGCATTGAGCCGTGCTTAATCTCGTACCTTGCAACACAAGCAAGAACCCCTTCTTTGACTGATCCATATTGAACTTCTTCAATATCTTGTCAAGGTACGTACTCTGTGAAAGACCAATGAGGCGTCTCGATCTATCTCAATAGATCTTGATGCCTAATATATAAGCAGCTTCTCCAAGATACTTCATTGAAAAACACTTGTTCAAGTAGGCCTTTATGCTTTCCAAGAATTCTATATCATTTCCCATCAATAGTATGTCATCCACATATAATATGAGAAATGCTATAGAGCTCCCACTCACTTTCTTGTAAACACAGACTTCTCCATAAGTCTGTGTAAACCCAAACGCTTTGATCATCTCATCAAATCGAATGTTCCAACTCCGAGATGCTTGCACCAACCCATAGATTGAGCGTTGGAGCTTGCACACCTTGTCAGCATTCTTAGGATCGACAAAACCTTCCGGATGCATCATATACAATTCTTCCTTAAGGAAACCATTAAGGAATGCCGTTTTGACGTCCATTTGCCATATCTCATAATCATAGAATGCGGCAATTGCTAACATGATTCGGACGGACTTCAGCTTTGCTACGGTGTGAAAGTCTCATCGTAGTCAACCCCTTGAACTTGTGGCAAAGGAATCCAGATTTCACAAGAGAACCAAGCACATCAAGCGATGCTTCAATTCCATTCAGGATTTAGTCCAAGTGGGAGACATAGAAATTTGCAAGATATATACGGATCTGAATGTTGCAGACCCGCTGACTAAGCCTCTTCCACGAGCAAAACATGATCAGCACCAAGGCTCCATGGGTGTTAGAATCATTACTGTGTAATCTAGATTATTGACTCTAGTGCAAGTGAGAGACTGAAGGAAATATGCCCTAGAGGCAATAATAAAAGTTATTATTTATTTCCTTATATCGTGATAAATGTTTATTATTCATGCTAGAATTGTATTAACTGGAAACATAATACATGTGTGAATACGTAGACAAACAGAGTGTCACTAGTATGCCTCTACTTGACTAGCTCGTTGATCAAAGATGGTTATGTTTCCTAGCCATAGACATGAGTTGTCATTTGATTAACGGGATCACATCATTAGGAGAATGATGTGATTGACTTGAACCATTCCGTTAGCTTAGCACTTGATCGTTTAGTTTGTTGCTATTGCTTTCTTCATAACTTATACATGTTCCTATGACTATGAGATTATGCAACTCCCGTTTACCGGAGGAACACTTTGTGTGCTACCACACGTCACAACGTAACTGGGTGATTATAAAGGTGCTCTACAGGTGTCTCCAAAGGTACTTGTTGGGTTGGCGTATTTCGAGATTAGGATTTGTCACTCCGATTGTCGGAGAGGTATCTCTGGGACCTCTCGGTAATACACATCACTCAAGCCTTGCAAGCATTGCAACTAATAAGTTAGTTTCGGG